GCCACCTCGGCAGAGGCCCTAGACTGCACCTGCGGGATGGGATCCCGTGCTGCCACAGAGCCTGGGCACCATGCCACCCCTCTCTCCAAGAACACCACCACCTGGCAGGCTGCCAGGAACAGCCAAGCCCTGTGGACATCACTCCCAGAAATCCAACCACACGGAAAGCAAACGTGCTACATCTCACGACAGTACTAACGAGCCTGGTAAATCAGCCCACAGTTGCACAGCCGTAGCTGGGGAATCCAAGTGCTTTCTGAGGACACACTGGTGACAGCAGCAGACACACGCATACACACATCTTCACGGCACACAGATTCACTGAGGTATGCCATGAGCCTGTGGGTTTTCAATACCATACGGTGGACAACAGTGGTGGTGGTGGGTCTCTGCCCTCAGGACGCACCTTATCTGACAAGCAAAAGGAACATCAGGGAAATACTCTGCATGGATTGAATGCCTCCCAGTGTGGTGGGACCTAAGAGGCATATGGATCTCTGAGCTTCGGCTGACATGCTCAGGAAGGTGGCCCTGGAAAGGTAAGGTGCATTCAGTGGAAACAAGGAAAGCATTCCAGGTGGGGGAAGAGCAGGTCCAGCATAGGGGTCCCCTGCTCGGTGTCTGGTAGCTTTCCAACCTGCTTGCCTACAGAGGTGTTCTTAGGTGGGAGTGGGAGGAAAAAGGTGACCTTCAGAGGTCATTATGCTCATCTTTCTGCCTTCAGGTAGTAAGGATCTGCTGCTCCACATCTGCAGGGAATCTCCGGGTGCTTGTCCATTATTCAGCTCCTCTTGAGGAGGAGTGAAACTCTTAGGTCCCAGCTCTGTGGCCCAGGCTAGAGTGCAGTGGCTCGATCTTGGCTCACTGCAACCTCTGCTTCCCAAGCTCAAGCCATCCTCCTGAGAAAGAATACCACAACCCTGATCCCAGTCTGGGCCAGACCCAGACCACCACGCCTGGCTAATTTTCAGGGTTTTGCCATGTTGCTCAGGCTGGTCTTGAACTCGTGAGCCCAAGTAATCCTCCAGCTTCAGTCCCCTAAAGTGCTGAGATTACACGATGCCTGCCCTCAGTGGTTCTTGTTGGCATTAGCTGATGTGCCTCTTGTTCCCAGGTGCAGAGTGAAGCCAGCGCCACCACCCCAGACAGCAGAGGGAACCGGGAATCCAGGCTCTAGCCACACCACTGCGGGGGGCCCAGACAAGCAAACACAGGAACAGCCCTGGTTAAGGGGTGTGTGCCATACTTTGCTCGCCCCTTGACCAGGTAAACCAACCCCATCAGCCCCTCCTCATGGGAAAACTGGGGTGCTGGTGAACATGAAGACAGGGGCTACCTCAGCTGGGTGGATCTCGGGGAAACAGACCCATTTTTCTGCTGCTCCATGACGTAGGCCGACAGCTCAGTCAAATTTTGAGGGCTCAGGGAAACTGTTGGGCTGAAGAGATGACAGCTCACCTTCCAGGTGGCCTAGCACTTGCCCTCTGTCAATGATGGAATCTTACTTCTTCTCCAGAGCTCCTTAAAGACAGCAGGCCTGAGCCCAAGACATGGGGAAGGACATCTGGGGAAAAGCTGGCTTCTTTTATCTCCACGAGCACTTGCTCCAGATGCTTCTAAACGTGCAGTGAGTTTTTGATTCAGCCTGAACCCTGCCCAGGTAGATAGAATCCAAAAAATTCTTGGCCTGAGAAAGAATACCAGAACCCTGACCCCAGCCTGGCCAGACCCAAACTAAGGCAGATTCTCCCGTTTCTTATCACAGTCACCATGAGAACGTGTCTTGAATGGCAGCACCAACACCATTTCACACACTTTGTAGCATTTGCTCTGCTCAGTACCCCAGATCCCTCTTTGGGAAACAAAGAAACAACTCAGAGAGGTTATCTGCTGGGCCCGAGGCCACAGCTGACTGAGGACCGGAAGGTGAGCTGCCTCCTTGATCCTTGGCCCTGGACTCTTCTCAGATTACCCTTATCTTAAAGGGAAGGGAATTACTTTCTGTTCCTTCAAGGCAGCTGCCTGGCATCCTGCCTGTACCCCTGGCCACAGCTCAGGGTCGTTTGTGCTGAATGAGGCCTCTTGATACCTCTCTAGCAAGTGACAAGCTGGAAAGATGCCCTCCAAACCTCAGATGCTGAAGAGGGGCATTCAGAAGAAGTGGCACCAGCAGCCACAATCCTTCAGCTCACCGTGAACTGCCACACATGCCCCTGGGTGAGGTCCCTGTTTCCAGATCCCCAGCCTGGAGAAAGTCACAGCAAGAGGAAGGGTGGTACAGACCAGAGCAGAGATTCTGAACTTGGAGTCTGTGTTTCAGGGGCTTTGTGAACCCTCTGAAATTGCCTGTGAGATTGCGTGAGTCCAGGTAGTAAAGACAAATGAGTCAGTGCATTTGTCTGGAAGACTGTGTAGCTCTTTCAGAGCCTCAAAAAGATCAAGGACTCAAAGAGGCTAAGAGCACAGGAACGGAGGCTCCCAAGTCCCCTCCAGCCATGTGGCTCTGGGCATACACAAATCTGGCAGCCAAACTCACATTATCAAACACAGGAGAACATGCTGTGTGAATGGGGGTGAGGGCTACTGTCCTTGCTGCTGCCCCTCCCTGGTTCTGTGCCTGCTCATTAACGCCCACCCCAGGGACCTGCATGACATTCCTGCAGAACTCAGCACCCCATGCTTTGCAGACCCCAGTCTTTACTGTCTTGGCTGTCTTGCTGAGGAAGAGGTTCTCGCCGGTCTGACCCCAGTGAGGCCTGTGTGATCTCATAGCTCTCACTGGCTGCTCATTCCCTTTCTGAACATCACCACCTTCAGACTAGAGGAGGAAACTGGAATGGAAAGGAAAATGCAATTTAGGGGACAGAGCCACTTCAGTGCACAGCACAAATCCAGCTGGACATTCCTCCAAATGGCCTCAGGGTCCTAGAAAGCCACCTCTCTGTCACAGGCATGTGAACACCCCTGTGCTCCACTCCCATGCTGCTCAAGGCCCATGACTACTTCCTGCAGGGGCCCTGCTCCATCCATTCCAGGCCACACAGGGCAGCTCCAGGCCCATCGCCCTCGCATCCCCAGCCAGTGGTCAAGGAAGCCCAACACGAGCCCACAGCCTGAGGACCTGCTGCTTTCAGAGAAAACGGGGAAGCTTGATAAGCCCCCTCCCACCCCTCATCAGCCCTCCTGGTCCTCCGGCTGAGGAGGGTGCCAGGACACCAATACCCATGTGCAGATGTCTGAGGAAATGCTTCTTGTTTCAAGGGCCACCCATGGGGCTGCAGGGGCTTATCTACTCCCCTGCAAGGCAGGAAGAAGCTCAGTGTCCCCAGGATGTGGACAGCCTTTCAGGGACTGCCAAAGTATCTGCCCACTTTGGGTCCAGTCTCCTCCTGTGGGCCTCCAAGTGGCCTTCCATCATGCGAGCTTCACTCTGGTCTTTCACCCTCCAAGAAGTGCTTGCCAGCTCTGCTGTATTCCCCAAAGAACCCATTCCAGGGCCGGGGAAACAGCATGTGATCAGGAAAACCTTCTTACTGTAAGGTGTGCAAATGGGATACCATGGTCTGGAAAACCCATTACTCTGTTTAAAAGTGAAAGAGTTACTATAAAGGCCATACGTCACTTTCCAATTTTCAAAAGACAAAGAAATACACACTGCTAAAGTTAAGTGGTGCATAATGTCATCTTTCTTTGGTGATTCAACGGAGAAGGCACATGGGGATCCATCAGCGTCTCGGGCATCATTCTGGAGGTTGTTGGGAAAAGCAGAGGCAGGAGCAGATGTCCCACATCTTCCCAGGTCCCCACATCTCTGCTTGCCTCTCCCTGTGCAGTGTGCAGCTTGGGGACACAGGCTTTAGGGTAAGAGCACACCAGGTACAAAGGTGGGGGAGAGTGCAGCAGAACCCAGGAGGGATGCGGGCATGATTAGATTTTGGAAGCTCCTCCCAGGAAGGTGCTCCTACAGCCTCTTTCACCAGCAACTGGAAAACCTCAGAAAGGTCACCTGAGATTTTCCCTGTGACATCCACGGTAGACTCTACCTCTAATGGGGTCAGTCTAGCAAGAATATGGGGTCTGGGTTGCCCACCCGCCAAAGCCAGACCCAGACAACCTGTTTGGTGATGCAGGAGAGCAGCTTTGCATTTCTCTGCCTGTCTCATACTCAACAAAATTCATGGCATGGGCCATGCTCCTCTACCCACCAAAGAAACTGGGAAAAGAAAACAAGCCACAGAGAGGTGAGTGACAGCATTAGCCCCAGGGCAGCCCCAAAGCAGAGGGAACTGGCCAAATTCTGCAACATGCGTCCCTAGCCAATGGGACAGGCACAGGCTAAGGGCAGAGTCCTGGCAGCCTCCTGAAGTTCCTGCTGGCCAGGTGGTCACATAGGACGCTAAATCCAGCTCCCCTGTCTCTACTGCTTTCCACAGGGACTCATGGTTGAGGATCTGCCAAAGTTAGTCAGGGGAGAGGAAACAGTCTCCTCCTTGAACTACAATCCAGGATGCCTCCCAGGCGAGTGAAGGACCTAGGGACTGGAATCGCATTGGCCCTGGGGCTGTGCCCTTGGACTCCCACTCAGGTAGCCAAGCCAGGTCCAACTGATAACTGCATTCCTTGAGGACCCTCGGCATCGAGTGACTGCCAGTGGGCAGACAGGAAGAAAAGAGCCCTGGCCCAGACCAGGCAGGCATCCCTGCCTCCCCTCCCACCGACTGTCCCCGGAGACCAGCCTCCTTCTCTGCCTGCGGAGGAGAGCAGCGGGGACAATATGCCAACAGGTCCCGCCCGGCGGGCCTCACCCGGCCAGCCATCCACCGCCCTGCCCTGAGGCCCCAAATTCAGCGAGAGTGCCGAGGCACCTGCCGCCAGACAGGGCTCCATCCCCGAGAATGGGGCCCTGGGCGGTGTCCCTCAGTGCCCCGGGCTTCCTCGGTTAGGGGCGGGGCGCTCCCTGGCCCGGCGCCCCCACCCCTGAGCCCCCTCCCCGAGCTCACCTGGCGCAGGTGCTGCAGCAGCGTCCCCGCCTCCTCCCGCCGGCCCTGGCGCACCATCCGCAGCAGCTCCTGGACCATGCCGACGCGCCGGTGGTAGGGGGGCATCCCCGCGCCCGCGCGCCCCGCCTTGTCCCCAGCGCGCAGCAGCAGCGACGCCCAGAAGTCTGGCCGTTCGCGACGGGGGCCCGGCGCGGCGCCGGGGCTGGCTCTCTCCGCCAGGCTGCCTTTGGTCTGCCGGGTGCCCATGCCGCCGCCGCCGCCGCCGCCCGCCGGGACTCTCCGCGCTGGGCCTCGAGGCCGCGTCCCCGCTGGCCGCCCGCCCCTCGGCCGCCCGTGCGCGCCCGCCTCCTGGGCTGCAACTTTGGGGGAACTGTTGCGCGCGGGCGGCGCGGGGGCGGGCAGGCGGCTGTCGGAGATCACCGCGCTCCTCCCTCTTGGCTCTCCGGGCGCGCTCCCCAGGCGCTCGCCGCCTGCCCGCCGGCCCCGCCCCGGCCCGGCCCGCCTCCAGTCCCCGCCCCCGCGCCCGAGCTCCGCGCCGAGGTGAGCCTCCCTCCTCGAGTGCTCCCGCTCCTTCCCGCGCCTAGGCTCCGGGCTGGGGGCCGCCGGGCGCCCCCTGCCTGCGTCCTCCTTGCAGCCGCGCCGCCTATTGGCAGCAGCACCGCGCTTCCCGGGGCGGTGGCGCGGGGGCGAGGGGAGCTAGCAGGCCCAATGGGCAGTCTCTGTCGGTCCTCACCGGGATCCCCTGACGTTTCCACCACCGCGCGCCCCAGTAGCGTGCGGGAAGGTGCGCCGGGCGAGATGGGGAAAGTTTGGAGCATGGGAGTGCGGGGGGCTCTCTCAGGCCCGGAGTCGGGTTTCTCAAGGTGGGTTCCGCTGAGCGTCAGCGCCCAAGTTGTTGGAGGCGCCGGTTAAAAATGCAGGCTCCTGCCGGGCGCGGTGGCTCACGCCTGTAATCCCAGCACTTTGGGAGGCCGACGCGGGTGGATCACAAGGTCAAGAGATCGAGACCATCCTGGTCAACATAGTGAAACCCGATCTGTACTAAAACTACAAAAAATTAGCTGGGCATGGTAGCGCGTGCCTGTAATCCCAGCTACTCAGGAGGCTGAGGCAGGAGAATTGCCTGAACCTAGGAGGCGGAGGTTGCGGTGAGCCGAGATCGCGCCATTTCACTCCAGCCTGGGTAACAAGAGTGAAACTCTGTCTCAAAAAAAAAAAAAAAAAAAAAAAATGCAGGCTCCCTTGTAAATCTGTTTTAGTTCTTTGTAAATTCTGGATATCAGCCCTTTGTCAGATGGGTAAACTGCAAAAATTTTTTCCCATTATGTTGGTTGCCGATTCACTCTAATGATTGTTTCTTTTGCTGTGCAGAAGCTGTGGAGTTTGATTAGGTCCCATTTGTCTATTTTGGCTTTTGTTGTCAATGCTTTTGGTGTTTTGGTCATGAAGTCCTTGCCTACACCTATGTCCTGAATACACCATGGAATATTATGCAGCCATCAAAAACGATGAGTTTGGGTCCTTTGTAGGGACATGGATGAACCTGGAAACCATCATTCTCAGCAAACTGACAGAAAAGCAGAAGATCAAACAACGCATGTTCTCACTCATAGGCAGATGTTGAACAATGAGAACACATGGACACAGGGAGGGGAGCACTACACACTGGGGTCAGTTGGGGGGAAATAGGGGAGGGACGGTGGGGGGTGGGGAGCTGGGGAGAGAAGAACTCCTGTGTTCTGTTCTCACTCTCGCACCCCTGGAGAGGGGTCCCTGGGGTAGTCCTGGTACAATAAAGCAAAGTCGTGTCTGCCAGTAGGCCCAGCGACACACCCTGCTGGCCCGCCTTCCTCCCGTCGCCTGTGCCAGGCCCAGCCTGTACGGGACCAGAGCCTTGGGATCTGATGGTGTTGTCAAAGCCAACCAGGGGCTGCCAGAGCGAAGGCAAAGGCACGTGGGGGAGCTTCTTTGTTGCAGATCACAGGCCGCCCTGGTCCCAACGCAGGGCAGCAGCAATTGTGCAAGCTCGCCTCTGACCCCAGCCCTGGGCGCTGCTTGTGGGTGTAAAGGCACATGGGCTGTAGGGACAGGAGGCTGGATCCCAAATCACAGGGAGCTGAGCCCCACCACTTGGTGAGCACTGAGTATCAGGCGACTCTTCGGCCTCTTGAGTCCTGGTTCTTCCTCTGCCAGGCTGTGATAATAACACTGCCTAGAATTGGGAGAGTAAAATCGGAGGACACTGCTAAAGGAAAAAATTATTTAATGATACATGTTAAAGCATCGCAAGGAAGACTGTATCCAGGACCATCACCATAGGTGTAGGGACCTCTGCAATGAGATTTTGCAGTCGCAGGGAGAGAGAGACTGAGCTCAACTCCAATTACAGCATGGGCAAGTGGGAATTTATTGCCAAGGACCAAGGTGGGGATCAGTGCATAGAAACTTACTAAGGGAAACATCAGGGCTGAGGGGGATTCTGGCTAAACAGGTTGTATAGAGCACCCTTGACATAAGTGACTCCATCTTAGGAAAAGGGTCCATTTTACATTTGAAAAAGCCTCATGCCAACAGGAACCAGATGTTTGCCTAATTAATAAAGACTATACACCCCCCAGATAAGGACATAAACAGGCACACTCTTTACTATCAGACCTCACCAGAGGACTCTGAGGCCATTCAAAAAGGCAGGAGTTCAGCAACTGGAGATGGCCGTCTGGATAGACCCCATCTTGCCCACACTCTGCCCACATCAAAGACTCTTCCTTGCAAGACATTGAGAGCTGTTTGCATCAGGCCAGGACACTCTCCTTGTCCAAGTCACTCTCCTTGGACTGGATTGTTAATCCCGTCTTCCCCCTCCCCTTTTCTCTTGATGTTAAATGTTACTGGTATGGAATGTGTAATCTATAGCATTTATACATTGATTAAGTATATTACCATGTATGGTTGGCAGTATTGACTGACTTGTGGAGTGACTTGATCCTGTGCGCCCCCAGCTCTTATTACCAAGTGAATGGGGAATGCTAAGGAGAATTGCCTCCTTGAGAATACCATGTAGCTGTGGCTTTTGTGACTGAAATAGGATCAATAAAAGCCCAAGATTGTGGAAAGACACACATGTGCGTGAACCTGGTGACCTTATGCTACTCACAACACCAACCTAACAGAATTCTTGCTTTAGACAGGCCAAGTGACCAGGTATCACTTGGGGGAGAGTGGAGGATGATAAACCTAATCCGATATTGAGGTTGGAGGGTTCTTGCTAAACTGACTTAGCAGGGTTCTTTGTTAAAACTGGGTTTTAGATGGAAGTGCACAAAGGGTCTAGAGGAAGGTTTGGGAGCCTGACTAAAGTTTGGCCAAGCAAAGAATCTTTGTCAAAATATAATCTCCAAGCAGAGTAGAGGTGTTCTGCCAATGAGAATTCTGCTTCCTGCTCTGTGATTGCGGGGTTTTCCATAGGTGTCTTCTCCGTTACCCCTGAGTACCTTGTGTACGAGTCCTGGCATCTCTCCTGCAGGCTTTGTCTTCCCTTTGGCCACCTCACTCTCAAATGTCCATCTCTGCCAGCAGAGAACGCTCAGCCTTCCTACAAGCCGGCTTTGCAGAGCTTGGATAGCACTTTCCAAACTTACCTGAATCCTCTGTCTACAGAACACACCTGCTGGCATCTCCAGAGAACCCAGCTTGAAAAATACTTATGTGTCTCTCATCTCTGGTCTGCAGGACCACCAGACAAAGTGGTCACCAATGAAACCTACTGACCAGGCCGCTCCCTACAGACAATGGGCTCTACCCACCTGGAGACAGACCACACAACCTACACAGCCTGTTGGGCTGTTTGAGGGTGTGTAGTTGGGGAAAATGCCATCTCAGTGGGAGAGAGCCCAGGCAGTTCCTCACTTGGGATCTGAATGGTTTTTTCCAGAGACTGAAGGTCTTTTTCAGAGACCTGATTCTAGCCTTCTCCACTTGCTCTTAATTTTTTTTACCCTGACTTCTCCTCTTTTCTGGCTTGCTCTCCTCAAGATATGCTCTACTCAAATCTCTTCCATCTATTTGAAAAATTTCATTTGCCGCCACCTGCTTCAGTCACCAGTGCCCCACCTTTATCCTTCCTTTTCAGTTAAGGTTTTTAGTTACTACCAGCCCTCCTTCCCTCCCTCTCTTCCCCTCCCTCCCTTGCTCCCTTCCTTCTTTCCTTCCTTCCTCCCTTTTCTCTCTCTCTGTCTTCCTCCCTCCCTTCTTTCTTTTTTTTGACACAGGGTCTCACTCTGTCACACAGGCTGGAGTGTAGTGGTACCATCACGGTTCACTGCAAACTTGATCTGGGCTCAAGCTAGTCTCCCACCTCAGCCTCCCAAGTAGCTAGAATCACAGGTGCACGCCACCATGCCTAGCTAATTTTTGTAATTTTTTTTGTAGAGACAGTTTTACCATGTTGCCCAGGCTGGTCTTGAACTCCTGGCCTTGGCCCCCACAAAGTGCTGGGATTACAGGTGTGAGTCACCATGTCCAGTCTATTGTCACCCTTCCTTTACCTCCATTCACTCCTCACCCACTTCAGTTTGGCTTCTGGCCACACCATGTCACTAAAATGCCTCCTGCCAGTGACCTAGTTGCGAAACTCAGTGGCCACATTCAGTCTTCCTCTTACCTGACTTTTAAGCAGCATCTGATCCTGTTGCGTACTCTTTTGGTTGAAACTCTACTCCCTTGGCTTATAAGGAACTGCTCATCTCTAGGCTTCCTTCTTGAGTTCTCCTGGGAGCTCCTTTTCTTACCCTCATTCTTTGCCTGTTGCTATTACCCAAGGTACTACTCATATCCCTTCCTAGGCAATGCTATTATTTATTTATTTATTTGAGACAGGTTCTCACTTTGTCACCCAGGCTAGAGTGCAGTGGTGCAATCATAGCTCACTGCAGCCTTGAACTCCTGGGCTCAAGGGACACTCCTGTTTCAGCCACCTGTGTTTCTGGCACTATAGGCACATGCCAACATGCTCTGCTGGGCAATGTTATTTGTAATCATGGCTTTACTTGCCATGTACATACTGATGACTCTTTCCAACTTATTAGCTAAGAAATTAACCTGTCATTGATTCATGGATGCTGACAGAAGACATGAGACTCCAGGGTCAGAAACATAGGACTTTGTTACTCAGGGCACAGCAAGAAGCATGTGCATCAGCATATTTGCCTCCAAGTCCCATAGGAGCAACATGGGGGGTCCAGATGGATGCTCCACAGGCAGCTGGTTAGCGTCATAGCTGAGGAACACCAAGCCTGGAGAGTGGGCTGCTTATGCAGGGAGGAATAAGCAAGCCTACTCTTCCTCTACCAGGGAGATGGTACCTCATCCTTCAAGGCAGCTCACTCTAAATACAGCATTGAGAAGTGGCCCAGATTAAAAATGGTCAGGGTCTCGCAATTTTGGCGTGCA